CATGGAGTTGCTTGATGTCCATAACCATACGCTGGTGGTAGGCGTTCATCTCTTGAGGACACTTTGGTCCTGTAGAAAAATGAAAAGATATAAAAAGATCAATGTCTGATAGAGAAATACGCCTTTCTATGCCCGAACAATCTCAAAGCAGAAATTCAGGGGCTAATTGATCGGGCCTAGCCGACTGGATGTTGACTTGGCCAATAATAACTCTCTCGGCCCCGTATTGATTTGCTTGAAGATTTTGCGCCCATACGAAAGGCCCTTCTATACGTAAATTTACGTTTCAATGTAGTGCTTCAGAATTAGAAAAGCATGCACACCGACGCATTTTTTTTTACTTTCGAACAACAACAACAACAACAACCAAAATTTTGACATTAGATTACAACACGCTCGTGAAATGGACCTTTACAAAGTACTTATTTGGTGACGCTGTGAGGGTGTAAGATTACCTCTCTACATTTGCCCTGCCCAGAAGGGAGTTGACACACGACCAGAAAGCGTGGCGGACACCCGCAGCTACTGTCCAAGCAGAGGTTTGGGTTTGGGGTTATTTTGGGCGTGTTATCGGGCTTTTTTTTATCGAGGTTTCCCTTTTGCACTGGATTTATTTGTTTACCCAGCCCCTATTTTTGTTATACTACAGCAGATCTTTTCTGCTTTTTATGTAATAACTCGCGTTGCCTAGTACGTGCCCAAGATATGAGGCGCATGCACGGAGCTGGGTGCCTGACTTTCAATATACTAGTTTAGCCAGGCCGGTAGCAGCGCCGAACGCTGGGTTCAAACCCAGCTCCATTCATGCGCCTCATATCCCTTCTTTTGTTGGGCACGTACTCGGCAACGCGAGTTCTTACATCCAGTATAGCAAAAAAAAGTTCTCTCGCCATTTTGAATTCACGCGGCGTGCCCTGTGGGAGTCCACCTTGTTCCCCGCCCATGTATCCCCTGAATTACAGAATGTAATAATACTCTTCCTAAGAAAACGCAATAGATTAACTTAAGTATCATTATGGACTAGCTCGTTAGAATCATATTTTAGTATTAGTTTGTGTGTGTACCTTTGTTGTTTCTTTGTCATACATTGTGTACCAGCTACAATTGTTGAGCAATAAAGTTGTTTTGATTTGATTTGATTTGTATCGATAGGTTAGCCTCTACCAGGCTTGGGGAGGCGGCTGGAAAGAGTAGAAATCGGCCAAATAGAGTAATAAAGCATGCCAAGGGAGTTTGTCCGTTGAGAGAACATTTCGCCGCACCCCAACGGACAAACTCCCTTGCCATGCTTATCCCTCTATTTGACCGATTTCTAATCTTTCCAGCCGCCTTCCCAGGCCTGGTAGAGGCTATCTGAAGGTCTCTAAAGAAAGCCGTCGCTCTCAACGATTATCGGTCAGTCAAAACTTGGCGTTCTATCTGGCCCGGTAATCCCAAGTGACCCATGACGATATGATCCTGTGAGACGGCGCGCTGCTCACTCGTGATTGTTATCTCCAAGATGTTTAGGTGGCGCAAAACATATTATCAAATTATACCCAGTTGGGTGGCTAATGGTTACAGTCTGGCCAAGAGATACTGCGCCACCTAAACATCTGCTTGGAGATAACCGTGATGGTACCTTCCCCCTCAATGTGGGTACTGCGTAGCCTCTACCAGGCTTCGGGATGCGGTTGGAAAGAGTAGAAATTGGCCAAATAGAGAAATAACAGGGCAGGGGTCCGCTAGACAGTAGAATTCGGGAACGGCAAACTGTACTCTCTCACCAGCTGTACAACAGTACTCTCTAACTGTACAACTCCCCTGGCGTGTTATTTCTATATTTGGCCAATTTTTACTCTTTCCAGCCCTCTCCCGAAGCCTGGTAGAGGCTAAGTACTGCATGCCTAACCTTCGGTGTTGTCGTGGTGTTAGGGTAGTCTATTCAAAACTGTAGCATTTGCGGTTATCAACCAAATTCCATGACATACACACGGAATGTACAAAAACATAAAGGTATTACCACTATTGCAAAGTTATTTGTTGGTAACTATGATTAATTTTTAAAATGAAAAACGATCTTCCGCATAATTTGAAAGCCGTCATTTGTGATTTTAGACTCGGAAACACTGCCCAAATTTTGGTCACAGTTATTAAACTATGTACTGACACATGTCCGGATACATTTCATTTGCTTAGATTTTATTTGAATTAAGAAAGATATGCAGGAAAGTGTATCATTTTCGCCGGCTCATTCAACCTACCCCCCCCCCCCTGGAGCGCGGAAATTGAGGCCTGGTTGGCGGCACGAAACGCTCTCGGCGCCGAAGGGATAGCGCTGAGCTCACGGCGGTCTGGTTACCAGGCTAGCTCATTCGGCACAGCAGCCGGAACCCACACATGACATCATCCTCATCTGGTCCAAATAAGACATGGCAGGAGCAAATTACATTTTTTAACGCAAATTCTAAGAAAAAAATCTTTAAATGTACCTTGTATCATCGCCATCAGCATCAGGAACCCCAGCTTGTCCCTCACTTCCGGGGGAAGGTTGAAAATCTTCAATGTCTGGGGCCAGATGGAATGAGGAATGTGCAAATGATTCCATGGTTCTCCTCCGTCGGTGGAATAGCCTAGAGCCAATGACCTTGGATCTCCCTGAAAAAAAAAATTATCCGTGTAAATAAAAACAGACATTGGCACAGCTACACATCACACGGGCATCCAATAAATAATTCAAGTGCATAACTTTTAATATTCTTTCTTATTTACCTTTCGCCCACCTTTTCAAATTATAGCAAGAGATACAGGGCTGGCACAGGCTTTAACCAAGCAACTGTCATCTTGTATATTCATTGAAATAAAGATGAGTTAAAGATGGCGCTGATTGTATTTATATAAGAAACGAATAATCTGAATAATATTGCCTGAAATCGGAGCAATAAGTGAGTTGTAGACGTTCTAGCGACGTCAGGATAACTTGGATGTCTCTCTCCCGTTGCGAACAGCTTCCGGGAAACGACAAATTTTGAATCCAAAAATTGTCTTCCCGACCACCACTCATTACCCTATGGAAACCCCCGACATGGCATGAACGACAGACTGTTTCCAGGGCCTGCAAAGGTCGGTTAGAGTAGAGTAGAGTAGACTTTTCGTCTCGGTAGGAAATTCTCTTCCACTTTGAGCCACTCCTTGTAGTTATTATGACTCTCCAAGCAGAGGATGTGGGGGAATGATCGTTACATTTTAATATATGGCCGTTTTTTTTTGTCCTGACCCCCACACGTCGGTGGCCGGCGACCTTCTCTGGCTAATGGATACTGCCTAGGCCTGGCCAATTTGATACTGTCTTTTTGCCACCGAGAGGGATCTGCTTGGAGATTAGTTATTATAGCCCCAGCCCCCACACCCCCAATGCAGCCCTCCCTAATTTGTCCCTGAGCTAGCCTCTACCGGGCACCGCGGGTAGCTGGAAAAATAGTTGAAATGGGCCGAAATAAAGGGATAGTATACCAATGCAGTTTAATACCGGCCAGGGAGGATCCAATGCGCGACCCACGGGCTACCAGAGGCTAGCCCTGAGCAACGGTTGCTAATTCTGGGCCTAGGGTGCTGTGGGTCTGGTCTGGTAATTACATGTATGTAGCATATCTAGCTTCATCTCATCTGATAGTGGCCACTACTTGAACATTTATGGATACCTTTCGGCCTAGTGCATGTAGTGTGTGACAGGAAGAAGATGAAATAAGGTTAAAAGAAACTGACCTTAAAGGGACCATCTTCCCTGTACAGCTCTTTCCACATAGCTGTTTCTCGGATGTCCGAGACGTACCGTGGAACAGGTTTGGAAAGGGATCGCCCGTGTTCCTGCAGCATACTTGCGATTTTCGGAACCGCGTACAAATTCCTCACCGTTTCCAGCATGGGGAAATAGGAGTACTCTTTCTTTGGTTTCCCTTTGTCGTCGAAGCGCGGTTCGTTGCACTTAGGGCACGTGGTCGCACCCATAAGGTCCCCGGTGTACAGCACACAGTCATTTTTACACACATGGCAGGTCTCAAATCGCGGCAGAAGTTCTTTCACTTTTGAGACCGCCTCCTTGTAAGTACGCGGTACTGTGTTTTTTAGGCCATGGTCGTCGAGAACTCTCTTGAAGAGTGACAGAATGTCCGTAACGCATTGCTGGGATACTGCAGGGTAGTTAGCGCGCAAATTCAGCACGGAAAGAGTAAACCCGATCTGCGTCCACTGTGATGAGGATCCGTTGAAGATGATCGGTCCATTTCTCTCGTCGTTGTCGTCCTCGAGGAAGACTGCAATAGGGGGCTTGTCCCCTCTGTCCAGGCGTGGTCTTTTCGCTGCTCTTTCTTCCTCCTCTTCTTTCAGGTGGCGAAGTTTAGTCCTTTCGGAAACGTACTTTCCATCTGAACCACACCGCTTTCGACAATGGCAAATTACTGTAGAACTAGACGGGCCCTCCATGATGACATGCTCCCATGATGGTCCAAAGCAAGATGAGTGACCAAATGTGCGTGTGATCAACTCATATACATGTGGGTGTCTTGAGCTAATTAAAATTTGTTTGTTCAGACTCGTGATCTCTGGAAACGGAGCGGGTGGTATATGAGGGGTTCTAGGGAGGGGACTGTGAGAAAAAATAAGATAGCAATCTAGAAATAGACTGGTTACGGTCATAGCCATCCACCCTTAGCCAATCTGGACCGAGGATTTTGCTGATACGAAATCCACATAGTAGGCCATTTTGTCAGAGCACCTCTCTCCCTTGAGGCAGAGGTGCTCTAACCAGGAATCTTGTATCAGCCAATCAAGAGCCAGATTTTTTGCCCTCTCAATGGACAGAGATGCTCTACCAACCTAATAAACCAACTTCATGACGTCCACTTTTGGCATGGGATTTCAAGAAACACTGTCTTATTCTAGGAATATCAATAACAGGCATACAACGAGACGACACGAGATCATTTACAGGCATATTTTTGTATCCACATAAATTTCAGCAACACAGAGCGACGTGAACGGTTTCTAGTTGATTCGTTCTTTGAAATGTTACAAACAACATTGCATGATAATATTAAATCTGTAAATTTGTTCATTAAAATCGTACGAGCAAGTTACACAAAGATAACGAATACACTTTACGACATATTTATAAGCAGTTCTGGCACAAATATCGTTAAAAACAATGAGATGAAAACAAGCCACTTCAGTCACAGTATATAAAAATAGACTAGCTCTTGTTCAGAAGCTTCACAGCTCTGGGGAGAAAGGACAGTTCTCAGACAGTTCCTAATAGCAATACGCGTACGCAAGCTTGTAGTCGGTTTTGAGTTTCATAATAATGTTCATAATGTTTTTCCGCCGTGTCTGTTCCGCGCAGTTGGGGGTGTAGTGGTGTGTTTGTTTGCCCTATCCCGTCCAGTGTTGTCTTCATAAGATGTCCCGCGCATAGGCCACAAGCTCCCGTTCCTCTTGTAGTAGCCTCTCTGCCGTAGTCAACATCCCCGTCAGCATGGAGTTGTAATCTGAAACAAAACAAGAAAAGATGTCACTTACACATAATTACGTTTGAATCTGAAGGACTTTTACTGTAATTTGTTGTTTCACACAGGGACAACTTCCAGTGACATAAAGGAGGTACCGTACTTAATACAAGCCATATGTTGGTGGGCCTGCATGCCCTTTTTCGTAAGGCGTTATCAGGCCTTTTTATACTTCGTAATCTGTAGGCAGCCCCCCAAAAAATCAACATAATTCGTAATAGTACATTAGCCTCAAAGTGTAATTAGAGTAGAGTAGGTCTGAGACTTAAACTTTATTCGTAATCGGCGGAGAAAATTAAAAAAAATATATAAATCCGTAATCACTACCCTCCCCCCCACATGCAGGCCCTCGTGTTGTAATACCAGGCCACATGCTACAAGAATAAGTCATGAGAAGTGAAAAAAATCTCTTACCCAAGACGATCAGCAACAAATCTTCCATCCGGCCCAAAACAGCAGTCAACTTGGCCTCATCTTCCATGTACTTTCTGCTCAACAGGAGCTCTACAGTTTGGAGATGGACATCTAACTCGTGGGACGCTGACGTTAGGCAGCGCTCGATCATGTTGGCAGCCTCCTCCAATGAGTCCTCTATCTCTTTCAGTCTTTGATAGATATAGATTAACTCCATCAAATGAACATTATCCATGATTCTGCCAAAAGAAAAAACTTCCTGAAAGTCCTCTTCTCACTGAGCAAATTAAGTCGTTTCTGATTGGTCCTTGTGAGTCCGTGTAAAATGCATACCATATGTCCAACAATCAACTGCGCAGGCGTAGAATGTTTCGCGGCAAATTTAACAGGAATGCCCGCCATTTTCTCGTAGCTTCGACACAGAGCGGCTGTGACATTTTTGTACTCGTATTTTTGAGATGGAGTCAGACAGTGACATTTGGTCCAGGAGCTCGTCGTTCCGGGACGAGCTCGAGATCCCCCCCCAGCAGCCCCGCCAGTTCTGGAATTCAAGCCAGGACTGGAGTTCAAGCGCAAGCGGGGAGTTCGAGAGGAGCTGGCCCCCTCAGCCCGTTCAGCCGCCA